TTAAGAACACCAAGAGTCAATTGGAATTGAAGAGAAGTTAATGGGACAAGAAATTTTGGAAAATAACCAAAACACACACTTCAAAAAGTTCAGGGACCAAATTGCAAATTGGTCCCTAAAATAATTGAACTATGCGTACGCATGGGCCTGCAAGCCTTGAGTATGCATGGTTGGGAAATTAAACTTCCGAACCTCAATTGAGGCTATTATGCATTCGCACCAAATGAACTATGAGTACACATGGTTCAATTCTGACCAAAAAAAAAAATCTCTTTCCTTATTTTGTTTTGGAAAGTCTTGGTTTGGAATTTTTGGCACCATATTTATACCAAGAATCGGCTAAAACACAGGAACCTAATTTTTCTATCATCTGGCAAGCCGACAAAGAGGATATATATATACATTGAAGAACAAGACTTTATCACTTGGATTTGGAATTGAAGACATAAATTGAAGGATTTCAGATTCTTTTCATACTTTAATGATTCAGTAATCTCGTTCTTTTACTTTTCATGTATTTCCTACATTAATATGCTAGGCTAAATATCTTTGTATTGGATGAATGACAAAACTGATTGATTATTAGTTTTTAATTCAAGACCTTATGTTTTTATCTCAATTCTTGTGTTGTGGTTCCTTTAATATGCATATCCATATTGTTTTAATGTTTGCGTACCATTCGGACAAGAAGTTGCTTATACATAGTGTTGGAAAATTCAGGGATAGGTAGAACACTGTTATTAGAACACATGAACAATGAATGTTATGAATAATATTTGTGGCGTGTGCGATCATATGTGATAATCCTACATATCAATGAGTGTTTGCCATATGAATTTGGACTAGAAATAAGATCGTCTCGTTGTAATCATAGAGTTATTATATCTCGGGAAAGAATAATAAATAAAAGTGGATTTATCGATCTTTACAATTGCATGAGTTGAAATAAAATGTCATAGGTTGAAAATTAGAACTAAGAGTTGATCAGTGGCGTCTAAAATCCAATACATTTACTCATCTGAATTTTAAAACAAATTCTCATTAATTTTGAAATTTTTAGTTATAGAACTTAATTAGCTATTCAAACTAAAATCAACTTTTAGTTACTATCATGAACTTAATTATATCGAATACACTAGAATGAGACATTATTCCCCGTGTGACGATAACTCTTTCATCTCATTTATTACTTGTACAATGAACCAGTACGCTTGCGCGATTTTAACGAACAGTAATAAAGTTTATCCCTCCATATCAGATAATATTAGCTTTTCAGGAGAATTAAAGTAGGGCCTGTTTGATTCGTTTGAATTCCATGGAAAATGGAATTCGAATTCCACATTTTTTCCAATTTTATGTCTTTGATACATTTTAATTTCCATGGAATTCCATTTTCTTACTTGTCTGGGGAAATGGTATTTCTTGGTTTTTAAGGAAAACCAATTCCCACCAACAACCTACTGTTCACGTTTTTGTTTTGTTTTTTAGTTTTTTTTTAAGGCAATGGAAACAAATTCTAAAAATTATTGTAAAAAAAACATTTCACTTTAATTGACAATTTTTATGTAAAACAAAGGCAAACCAACACCAAAAGATAGATCATTTTCTTGATTTTTTTTGGTTGGCAATGGAAACAAATTTCATTCCCAATACCAGTAAAATCGATCCTTTTAATTGACAATTTTCATGTAAAATAAAGTCAAACGAACAACAAAAAACACTTTTATTCCAACATTTTTCACGTGAAAAATTATACCAATCAAATATAGTAATTTACAATTCATAGGAAAACAATTTATGGCAATTCAATTCCCTATAATTCATTTTCAATTCAATTTAATTTCATCTTTGTAATCAAACGGACCCTTAGATCTATTAGGCCTTATATTGTTATTATTTTTATTGTTTGTCTTTCTTCTTTAGAGAATTGTGACAAGTTCATCAGATAGTTGATGTATGTTATGTAAAGGGTAATTAGCACAAAACGTTCTTACTTTTCAATGTTATTATTCAAAACGTCATTACCTTTCATTTTTTGATATTTGCACTTTTCATTGTGAAAAATGTTCTTTTCCTCCAATTTCTCAATAAAAATATGGAAAATAATAAATATATCAACATTTTTAAATAAAACAAAAAAGAAAGAATAAATTGGAATTATACTCCCAAACCTTTTAAAAAACTTTAAATGAGTCCAAATAAATTATTAAATGAGTAATTAGAACAAAAATATCCATACCTTTCAATATTATTGTGCAAAAAGTTCTTATCTTTCAATTTTTTTTGGCATTTTCACGATCACTTTCACATTTCATTGTGGAAGTCATTATTTTCATCCATTTTTCAATTAAAAACTGCAAATGATGAATATAAATTCCTATTTGAATAAAAAAAAAAAGAGAGGGAACAAATTGCAACTATACTCCCAATTTTTTCAAAAAAGTATAAATAAATTTAAAATAAATAATTAAAAAAGAAAGAGATTTTTTTATTTTTTTGTTTTTAATTATTTATTTTTTGTAAACAATGTACAAATTCTTGAAAATTAAGAAATTCATTTGAAGCTGTAAATAATAAATAACATCACAATTTTTTTAATTGTCAATTTTTTCTTTTCACTGAACACAACATATTTATTTAAATAATTACAACAAATAATTTTCATTTGTCCATTTAGTATGTTAGAAAAAATTCAAATGATTTTTTTTTCTATCTTTCTCAAGTTGTGGGTTAAAAAAAAAACGATGATGATAAATTTTGTAAAGGCATATTTTAAATTTTTTTTTCTTTTTTTAAATATCATAAGCCTCTAGGAATTAATTTTTAAAGAATTACAAAATAGTTAACAAGCTGCATGTAAAGTATTTCATAATTTACGTACAAAATGTGATTTGTTATTCCATAATCTAATTTTAATTTCCTTAAGTTTACTTATACTCAGTGGTGGAGCCAGCACCTAGTGAGGGGGTGCAACCGCGCATGCTGACTCTGTCGGAGCTTTCAATACCTGCTGTTAGGCGAGCAACGGTGGAATTGTGGACGAAGGGGAGGAAGAAGATGACTCATGCGTATGCTACTGGTTGGGACTTGGGCTTAATTTTTTTTTTATTTTTTTTTTTCAAGTTTTGCAATTGTTTGGGCTGATGAATTAAGGGTGGGCCTTTTGAGAGGAAAAAAAGGCCCACTGGCCCCAAATCCAATCCATGGACCATGGACATGGCAATAGACTTGGATGTACCTCCTGTGGACCTGTGAGCCTGTGACTTTGTGAATTGTGGTGAGCGCCTTTTTCCTTCAATTCTGTCGATTGTCACTCTCTCTCTCTCTCTCTCTCTCTTTTTGTGAATTTGTGATTTATGATAAATAATTTATGTTGTATGAGTTATGAGTTATAATTTATCATTTATGAGTTTTGATTTGTGATTTGAAAATTTAAGTTTAGGAAATTATGGATAGGTGATAAAAAAATTGTTGGAATTTACAAGTTATGATTTTTGATTTGGGAATTTAGGTTTAGAAAATTAGGGATAAGTGAAAAAATTGTTGGAGAAGATGTTGGGCTCAATATTAATAAACAACATCGTTATTACGATAGTAGATTGTCAATAGTCAACCACCCTAATTGATCATCGGTCCTGGATTTGCCACTGCTTATACTTAATTCTTTCATAAACTAACTCAATAATGAAACTTTGATAAAAGAATGTATGATACTACATTTATTATTATTATTATTATTATTTTGTAGAAAGTAATTATTTAATGTTACAATGTTTGTAACTTTTTGATGAATAGTTGCTAAAATAAACTATGATGTAAATCATGATCACATTGTATATACTTATTTAGTACCTCTTGATTAATCTCTTCGTCCTTATGCTATTTTATCATTATATAATTTTTTTCAAGGATAATTTAAAAAGTGCTCGACATCAATTACATTTTTGTAGCATTGGATAAAAATAGTTAGATGACTTCAATAATCCATAGATATATTAATAAATTATTTATTTATAAATTAATGACCTTTGTAGTGTAATAATTTTCTTGATCTTAACATTATTATTTTAGAGAGATTTTATTATTTAACATGTTAGCATTCATTGATTAGGCTGCAACATAGTCTTACTTCTTGATTTCTTAATTCTGAACAAATTAATTAAAAGACTTTTAAAAAAATAAAAATAAAGAGAACCTAACCAACGTGATTATCATTGAAGTAGTGGAGATCATAAATGACAAAATATCATATACGTAGCCGAATTTCGTTCACTAACATTTTGTAAAGTATTAGGATTAGGATTACATGAACACTAATTTTATTTTTATTTTTTATCGGATTAGAAATATATTGTAAATTTGTTGTGATGTATTTAATAAAAATATAATTTAATTGTAGTGTGATTATAATGTGGTGTAGTAACGAAATTTTGTGGATGTAATATAAACGAAAATGATATTCTAAGTACCGATGACATGACACACAAATTAAAAGGTGAATAAGTTAATGGTATGTTCGATAAATTTAATAATTCATCAATAAAATAGTTTATCATGTCATCGGTGCTTAATATAAGTTAAACACCTGTACTTAGGAGATCATTTCAGATAACACACACTACACATATATATACTTCCTACATTTGGATTTGACAAGTATTTTTCACAAATAATCGTGACTTTTAGATTAAACAAATCCAACGGTCAGTATGTATTTCACTAGGATCATGAGAGAGTTAGTTATAATCTCTTAAGATCCATGAGATACTAACTATTGGATTTGCATCATCTAAAAGTAAGGATTATTTGTCAAAAATATTTATTAAATTCATGTGTATGAGGAATATATATATTCAGATTTATTAACTATTGAGGCCCAAAACATGACATTCTAAAACAGCCCAATTAATTAATCTAATTAGATCACAAAATAAAACCCAACTACTTTGTCCGGACCTCAAGGCCCACCTAAATAATACAAAACCCTAACCCTTTCGCTTCTACACACCATCACACACTGAGAGAAGCAGAAACCAAAAATAAATAAAATTCTAGCACCCACCCTTCACAGCAATGGCGGCGAAAACCGAGTCCGTACAGTGCTTTGGCAGGAAGAAGACGGCGGTGGCCGTGACCCACTGCAAGCGGGGACGCGGATTGATCAAGATCAACGGAGTCCCAATCGAGCTAGTCCAGCCGGAGATCCTGCGTTACAAGGCGTTCGAGCCTATCCTCCTCCTAGGTCGCCACCGGTTTGCCGGAGTGGACATGCGCATCCGCGTCAAGGGCGGAGGTCACACCTCCCAGATCTACGCCATCCGCCAGTCAATTGCCAAAGCCCTAGTTGCATTTTACCAGAAATACGTAGACGAACAGTCAAAGAAGGAGATTAAGGACATCCTTGTTAGATACGACCGGACTCTTCTTGTGGCTGATCCCCGTCGCTGTGAGCCAAAGAAGTTTGGTGGTCGTGGAGCTCGTGCTAGGTTCCAGAAATCTTACCGTTGAAATCCCGGTAGCTCTGATTTTTTCATTACAGTCTTTATGTTTACTGTTCGTAGTATGCGTTTGGGATTTTGGATTTAAACTAAGTTTTGATTGAACGTGCTGTTCTATTAAAAATTTAAAATTCGGATAATGATTATAATCTGTTCTCTCAGGGTTTCGATGCAATTTTATCTATAAATTGTTACATTCCAGTTATCAATGAAATATTTTTTTATTTATTTTGGTGGGGTGGGGGGGAATGCCAGGATAATTTATATTACTGCATTTGATTGTTGGGTTTCTCGTATTTGGAATCCATTTTTAGCTAAAAGTATTTGTGGGTCTTTGAAATGTGTGGCAGTCCGCAATTAACAACATGAAAAAGCGATTCTTAGATCCAAATCCATAGGATTAAAGGCCCTAATTTTGCATGTTTTAGGTTAAGTTTCTTGCCAGTATGTGCTTTTGCTGTTGCAAAGTTTGGGTTTCAGTAGTCCCACTTCAACTTGCTTTTACCAATGAGTATGCCCCTGTGTGCATAAATAGACCCCTGAACCCCGTCTGTCGTTGAACTCCCCGCAAATGTAGGGTAGATGAAAGTAGACACCATACTTACTAGTCTAGACTGTCTGGTGCATCCCCGAACACTGATCTGTATCGCACCAAAGGAGTGCTGGGTAAATATAATTGTAAAGAACAACTAGAAATGGAACGGTTTGATAGAAAATTCAATTTGTTTCAAGTTCGAACTGGTTTATTACCAAATCAAAATTTAGAATTTTTCTTGCTGATGGAGATTTGAACCCCAAGCGCACGAATGAAACTTATCAATGTGCTAGTTTGAGGTCTTGTCAATGATCTATGATCAAAAAAATTTATATATTATAAGAAGAAAAGGACATAAGAGATTATACATATATCTTATTTTTCCTTAAGAATCATTTCTGATTAGAATCAAGTCCCAACAATGACTTGCCAGCTGAACCAATGACTCTCTTATTGACCTGAACCAGGTAAACAATTGGGTTTAGTATGATAATTCTAGTAGACATAACTGCAGTTGAAGGCAGGCAAGCAGGGTCTGCACGATACGATATGAACGCTTTAGAGCTCAAGACGAGGGACTAAACTAAATGTGATAGCATAAGTTGAAGATTCTGTATCCATACTGGGAGGTTAGCTAACGAATTTAGTTGTAATTTTAGTTGGTGCATCCTGATACTCAAGAATCATATGGAATTTTGTTTTTAGAAGCATATAACAACAATCTACTGTATGAAATTTTATGATACATAATAGGAGGTAAAAGCAACATTACAAGTGCATTCTTGTAAACATGTATGATAGTTAAGAGTAGTGTAAACTGTAAAGGGTTGGCCTCCTCCTAGGATCAAATGAATATATGTTTTCATTGTAAAGGATGGTGATTAAAAATTTTTGAGGGCCCTCATTTGAACAGCCACTGAATTTTTATGGAGTTATTATGGTTATAGCTAGGGTTGAACAATGAAATCGACAAACGACCAAATCAAATCGAAACCACTTTTTTGAAACTATTAGTTTGAGTTCATATGGACCTATCAGCGTTTTGGTTTTGAATTGAACCGAACCATTTTGAAGTAGTTTAGTTTAGATTTCAATCTTTACAAAATGTTCAAACCGTTTGCAAATAAAAAAAAATAATAATTTAAATTTTATCTAACCCACTTGAAACATAACGCATCCCAATTATCACAACCACAAATACAAAACTCTCAATTGGATAAAGTGTTGAAGAATTGCGGTTGAACTATATTCATCGCCCGTCTATTACAATTGAGTAGGCAATGGAATCTTGATTTTAATTCAAACTCTCACATTTCTTTTTCTCCCACTAATAATTTTCTCGAATTTTGACTAAACTTTTAGGTCAGATTCATATATTTTGCTAATTGTTTGATATATTTTATTCGTAGTTGTGTTACTTTGTTCAATTTATGCTTGGCTCTCCCAAATTTTAGTTGACATCATTTAAAAAAAAAAAAAAATTGTACTTTTTGTTTATTTACGTCTCAATTACCTAGTCAGGTCACTCGATTAATTTTTTGCATTTTAAATTAATTTCTAGATTTTACTGTTAATTGTTAGAATAATTTAGTGAATTACTTAAATGATTGTTTTAAAGATTTTATCATTAAGTCTTTCGACATATTACTTTGGTAGAAATTAAATGCGATAAATACAAAATTGTCTTTCAAATTGTTAAAGATGTGTAAGCTAATTAAATATCCACAATTGGTTGAGTTCGCATTCCCTATTAGCTGTCGAATTCTCATTTTTTTAAGAGTTCGTTGAGTGCAAATATGATTGAAGGTGTGATTTGCCCTAAAAATTGATTCCATATAATAAGGAACCTGTAATAATTTGTCAATATTTGGATAAAATAAAAGCATTGATCGATTCACAAAAAGTTATAAAAGATATTATTTTATTTAATCTTTATTTTTATTTTATTTTATTAATTATTTTATATCGTTTAACGATAATCAATGAATTTATTTACTATATTCTTTCTCTATGGAGAAAATGAACAAATAAGAAGTTCTCACTCTGGGACATTCTTTTGGGATAGCTTGTTAAATCCCAATACCCTTTTCAATAATAATAAAACTAGTTAGGCAGGCTAACAAAGGGAAATAGAGGATTGATTGATTCGGCAGAAATTAGTTGGGTTTTTTAATTTTTTTTCAAAGTGTTCAATTATGTATCGATGCGTGTTCACCCTATTTTTTATCCTGCTTTTGAGCTTGTCACCATAGCATTATTGTTTCAATAAAAGCTACTATCTTGACGGGTATGAATTTTCTCATCATACATTCCTAAATGTACAAACAATTTTCATAAATGAAGTTGTAAGAGGCACGGCAATAGATTCTAAACAACCCACACATTCACGTACCAATGAGTAGACACTCAAAGAAATCTATGGAGTAATGGGAGAATTGGGACATAGAGGGTTGAGATTGATTGATGTAATGCAAATCCAAATGAAATATGAATCATGATGTGGTAGGAAAGAAGGAAAGAGACATTGGTAGCAGAGGGTTTTCTTGGTCTTGAAATTGTTTGAGGGAAACGTAAAATCATTGGGAGGGAAGTCTTATTACGTGGCAATTGAGTTATTATTATTATTTAAAATGTTGGTTATATTGCCACTACAATTTTTATTTGTTATTCAACATTTTAATTATAATTAAGCTCATCAATCTTTGCTCCTTATAGCAATTATTTCTTAATCTTGTTTTTATTGTATTTTTATCATCACCATTCATTAATTAGTACGTCTCGTCCTCGTTGATGATTTATGTCAATATTTTGTTTTAATACTTTTAAATAAGGGAAAAAATTTCATGCTTGTTTATTTATTTAGTTTAAATATGATGGAAAAATAAGTTTTTATATGTTATTTCAACAGAGTTTTTAGACATTAACTGTTATCAAATACAAAATGTGTTAATCAATGAAAAGTTTGAGAATAAGAATGTCATGAAAAATCATTAGGACGTAAATGCTATAATGATAGAGATTGAGAACATTAAGTGTAATTAAAATGTGTGTAAGAAATAAAAATTATGATGTGAATATACTTATAATTAAAATTATAGTAATACTTAAAAAAAAAAGAAAAAGAAAAAGGAAAATCTACATTAGTCATGTTTAGCTATTCCATTACATTCTTCCTTCATTTGTCTAAGCATCCACAACAATAACAACTAACTACACTTTATTTTCAATATATTTAAGATAAAACCTTTATAATCACATTTTTATTTCCCAAAAAAGGTGCCATGTCAGTTATCGAGTATTTCCTACCTAATTTTTGCTTGGTTCTACTACTAAGAAAAAAAAAATTAAAATTAAAAATATAAATATAGTTATTTGTGAAAAAATCTACAAAAATTAACTATGGATTCACAAAATTATTTTCTGTTTCCGGTTCTTTCCATCAAATACCTATTTTATTCCCATGTTTATTTATTTTCCTTTTCTTCGATCAATTTTTTTCCCCCTACCAAACACACCCTTATATTTAAAATTATCCCCCACTGACTGAGACATGTCGACAAACCTCGACACCCGACGAGATAGCGCACCATAATAGGTCGGTGCGACGACACCATGGAAGATTTTCTCCCACTGACCCTACCTAGTTGCCGCATTTCTAAAAAGTACTACAGTTTCAACCTTACACGGATCGCAAAAGCTAGGGAAAATTGCACCACTGGTCTCAAAATATTTTCATCAGTATGAAGTAGGTATCTTAACTTTTAAAAGTAACAAAGAGGTCATCAACAAAAGAAACAATCCAAATCTTGTATAAGTTGTTACCTTATCATAATATAATTAACTTCATAAAATTAAGCAAGAGCCCATTTTTTAAAAACTTTTTTTCGTATTTATTTTCAATCATAAATTTCATGAAATTTATAATTTTTATTAACTTTTTAATCACATATTTCATAAATTGTTATCAAAATTTGCTAAAGATTTGGGTTTATCAAAATCAAACAAGGGCTGAGTTTCATTTCTCAACTTAAGTCTTGAATAGAAAATTTGAAGTACCATACGTCACTATGAAGGTCACATGATGGGTTTTTTTAAATTATGAAATTTTTCGTAATTAAAGAACAATTATACAATTACAAAGGAAGATCAATTTGTTTAATTTTTAAAGAAATAAATTTGATTATTAGTTAGAATGGTGGAAAATATAATTATTGAAGATCAACTCACTCATTTTTAGAGGATCATCTATAATGAATGGTGGAGGATAAAATTTTGATGATTAGTTTGCTCAATTTGAAGAATCAATTGTAATTAATAGTACAGGATAAATTTGTTCCTTCATAAAGAGAGGATGAATATGCTAATATTTCAATAGATTGGGGACTAATGATGCCATTTTCCTATAAGTTCTTCCGTTAAACAATGTCCCTCTTTGCTGGAATTTCTGTTTTCTTTCAAATAATTGTTTCTTAATTATTGAATTTTTCTCCGTATCCATATGGATTCGATTCTTTCTGCTGTTTCTCGAACTGTATTTCCACGTTCGAGCGTAATTCCTGACGCTGATTTGAAGAATTTGCCTTGCATCCTCGCATACTACAGCCGGCCTGTATTCAGAAAGCCCGTTGTTGCTTATACTTCCACTTCACCCTGCCGACGGCGCCAACTCTCGGAATTTCGCTGGAAAGCGGCGGTTTCCACCTCTGATACCACCGGTACCACCAATTCCGTCCCTGTAAGTTCCTATTGTTTCTCTATATATACGCGTCTGTAGGTAAACTGTTGCTTTATATGCTACTAATCAAAAAAGGGGGAAAGGGAAAGGGATTTAAGTGAATCCCGTTAATTTATTAATGTCAAATGTGCGTGTCTGAAGGATAAGAGTGAAGAATATTGTAGAAATTAATCATAAAAAAGATGTTGGTGTGCTGAAACTAATTAGATCAGTTGTATATGATGTCAATATATGTTGAGGTCGGAATTTGGAAAGAAGTTACTGAAGTAAACGTTTTTTAGTATGCTTATCTGAAGTGGATAACCGTATTGTACTCGTAGCAATTAAGATTGGTGGTTACCCTATGACTTTTCAAACTATTTATTCCGTGAACTTTGTTAGGTTCAGCACTAATGTGCTGGTTTCTTTAGATCCTTTCCGGTGGATCAAACGTCTTATATGTTTGACACGCTATCGATAGATTTCTAGATTCTAGGTGCATCACAGCATTATGTGCAGCACACAATTCCATTGGTGGTTCTGCTTTAGTTTACTTAAGTGGTTATTTTACTTGGTGCAACCTCAAGTTTATAGTTTATATTAGAAATAATCACGACTGACTTTTCATGATGTTGATCATGTTGTCCGTGTCAGGTTGGAAAGTCACATAATAATAGAGTGACGCGATCAATGGTATACTGATATCAAATGCTAGTTGTAGGCTAGAATGGTTTAGTTTAGGTCAATTCTCTTGAGGTGGTGTTTACAACTTAAAATGACATAAGTGCATGGAGTTCTATCATAACACAATGGCATTAACTAAGTAGTTCAACATGTTTGTAAAACATTATAGGATTCCTTGTCTCAATGTTTGGCTGTATTGTCTTATTGTCTCTAGCTAATACATTGACTATAACAACTGACATGATGAAACATAGGCGACAAATAAGGAAGCATCAAATTGATTTCTGATAGAAAAGATCAGTATCCATCCTAAATTATTTGGAATTAGATGGAAAAGCCAATGAACTTACTTAGAAACCTTCAAAGTAATCAACGTGGGACCTTTTATGTTTTAACAAAATAAACCATTTATATGATGCTTAGGAGAGTCATTACTGCAGGACTGACTATTTTTTATAATCGTTGAAATTTTCGTCTTCTGCATTTTTCCAGTTATCAACATTTCAGTTGGATAGAAAAGAAGCAAGCACTAGCATTGAAAGTAAAGCGAAGTATTCTACATTTATTAGTGTCAAAGAATGCTAAGAACATCTATATGAAAATAGTGACACTAAATTATGGGATATGAAAACTTGGATTATCACACCAAATTATTAAAGGTTGACTTTTTTTTTTGGGGGGGGGGGGGGGGATCACTTCCAAACAGGCCCTAAATTTAGAAATTTATATACTTCTCTAGGTCTATTGATAGTAGTGCCAGTTTTATCTGCTTATAATGCTACTATGTTCTCATACTCAATATAGAATGGAATACTAAGTGCTATGATACATCGACACGGACACGTGTGTCCGACACGATACGTGTCAGATACGTTGACTCGTGTTTTTTCAAAAAAGTACTGACATGACACGTTCGATAAATTCTTTAAAATTCTTCATTTATATAGTTTAAATTTAGTTTTATACTTATTATTGATTCTTTTTTGTTGAAATTTTTTAAATATGAGTACTTATTTGTTATTTACTAAAAATTTTGAATTAAAAATATATAATAACTATAGTAAGAAAGGAAAATGATTATTGTAGAGTGTCCGAAGAGTGTCGGTATTAACACGTATCCGACACGTGTAGGACACGGACACGCTACTCTAGTTGGAGTGTCCGTGCTACATAGACTAAGTGCATGCCCATATAATTAACCAAGTCCATTGGGTTGTTCAACTCATTTATGAAGTTTTACATCGCTGTTTGTCTTTAAGAAGGTTTCTAGGTCCAACGCAACTACAACACAAATTTTCTATCTCAGCACCAGTTTGTGGTGAACCTATTCTGCTATTCTGAAAGAGTGCCCTTCTTATTATCTCTCTTATCCACGAATAGAGTGCTAAACTGTTGTGGAAGTGGCTTAGATGAAGAGATCACGGTTCTGAAAGATTGCACTTATGGAATCGGCACCAAGATGAACTGCATACACTTCTTGGCCCTGAAGAATAGATCATCATTTTTTATGTATAGGGTGTTTTATTTTTCAAATATATCAGTTTTAATTTTCTTAGAGCCTCTGCTGCTTGAAGATTCAGACAATTGATTTTATTTGGTCCTCAATTATCCTGAAATGCTAATGGAGCCATGGGACATTCACTTGGCTTTTAGCATTGGGAAATATAGTCTCTTCGTAGGGATGCACATGAGTGGAGCTGAGAATAACTGAATACTTGAAAAACTTTATTGATACCGAATGTGTTAATTCAAGTCAAGCTAATTTAAGCAAGCTAGGGGGCTATTGAGCTCTCAGTTTTATTAGCAAAGAGGTCCCTGGCAGAACAGAATGTAAGATACAGACTCATATAGTTGACTCTATTAATAAACCCCTTGCTGATTGTTTCGAAGTCCTTAGAGCAGAAAGGTCCAATTGATAAAGTACATGCATTTAAGAGAAGACGTTCCAATTTTCTAATGAGAATGTAATGTTTGTCTTCTTTACCCTAATAGCATTTGTGTTGCCTCTACATTATATTTTTGTGTTCCAATTTGCAGCCACGAGAAGGGATGTATATCGTTGGTGATTTTATGACGAGAAAAGAGGATTTGCATGTTGTAAAACCTTCGACTACTGTTGATGAAGGTATTTCTGATCCTTGTTCTTAATTTGTCTCCTAGTTCAATTTTTAAATTCACGATCATTTCCTTTTTATGTACAGCATTGGAGATGCTAGTCGAGAAAAGAATTACTGGATTTCCTGTGATCGACGATGACTGGAAGTTGGTAACATCTAGATTTGTTCTGTCGACTTTGTGTTTAATATGGCTTTTCCCACTACTAGAAAAGCTGCACGTATAATATCATATTATCCTGTGTGAATTTACAGCTAACCCCTTGGGGATAGGCATGTTTTGCATTAAAGGTGAATTTTTTTTTCCGGTTACATTCATGGGGTTAAGAACTTTCCGTCCAAATAGTCAAAGAGAACGGTATGCATTGAAAAACAAGATATTGTGATGAAATATGTTTTTTTGACTAAGTGGCCGAATTAGAAAAGATGACTTTACATTTGATTGATTAAACTGGAACTTGAGTTAGTAATTCTTCTTGTCTCAAGAATTAAAGAAATGTGCTGCCTTGAGACTCTTATTTATGTTTCTCTGTGAACTTGAGATCCTTGAAGCAAGTTTCTTGGTCAGACGACTGTGTCAATGGAAATACTGCCAGAGTGCTTTCAGCTGATAAGCTAACTCTCTTTGATACATATAACTTGGTAAAAGCGAAGTTGAAAAATGGTGAAATAAAATTTTGTTTCATAATTTAAAACCTGATTATGCTGAGGTAATTGTAGCAATTTGTTGAATTGCTGACTTTCACAGATTGGACGAATGGGGAAGAGAAGTGAGCTGGGATGCAATTGCTTTTTTTTTTTTTTTTTTTTTTCTGTCTTAAAATTTAATTATGCTTTGTTGTATTCTTCATTTTCCTGTTACAAGAATATTGTAATTTGCAACTTCATTCCTCTAGTCTTTAAAGAACTCAGTCGGCTTTCTGGCTTTTCAGATCATCTTCTGTACTGTGATTTGAATTACCTTAACTGGGTTTATAACTGTTTAGTTTTATTAGACGGGAAGATCATTGCTCCTCTAATGTTGTAATAGACTCCTTATGGTTTTGATGAAATTATAATTTGTATGCCTGATTGTTGATCACTCCACTGAAGGTTGACCTGCAGTATTCTTTTCTTTTTTCATTCACCTTCTTTATAAGTCCATTTTCACTGACCATAAAGTTATGCTGCAGGTTGGTGTTGTCTCTGACTACGACTTGTTAGCGCTTGACTCTATCTCAGGTATAATTGAAATTTTGAAACCAAACTAGATATTTAAATGGAAACTATTTATATCATCAGTTATTGATTAAATTTGTTCTAACTTAATTATTTTGAAGTGTCCTTAGTATTCAAATGAGGTAATCCTTCTTGGTGACAAGCGGTGATATAAATTTTTAAGCAGAAGAGATAATGGTTTAACAAATGCGATTGTTGAGAATACCACTTGGCAGTGCAGAAATTTAATTTCTTCCCTTCCCTCCATATAGAGCTGATGAAAAAGAGACCAAAAAAAAAAAAAAAAAAAGTTGGAAATAGGAAGAGAATGAGTACATATGATTAGTGAACATGCAGCATGGATCTTTGGAAAATCAGAAGCAAAATGTTCTGCTAATTTGATGAGGTTTTTCAGAACTTTTGTAGAGCAGAAAAGGCTTATCATTCTACTAAAAATCAATGTGAAAAAAAAAAAAAATTAGATTTAAATTAAGAATCGTTACATGCTGTCAATTCAGAAATTAGCATTATTACTCATCTTGTAAAAAGTAAAAGCTATTTTGCCTGGTGCTAGTTATTTTGGTATGAAGATTATATCTCGTTGACTAATTATCTCCTTTTCTCATCTGTGGAACTTAGGCAGTGGTCAACATGACACAAATATGTTTCCTGATGTCGACAGTACTTGGAAAGTATGTGAAAACTCTTCCTTCCATGTTTCAAAATCACCACATTTAGTGATGAAGTAGCATGTTTACTTTTTGTTCGTAGGGACCTTTAAATAAGCTCTTTGTTCTGGAATTGTTCTGTACTATTGCTTCTATGATTATGGTTTTGCAAATGATACATACTGCAAATCCTCGGCTTTGTTTCTGCCTGTTTTCATATTGAAGAGAAGTAATAATAGAATGAAATGAGATAGCTAACACATTTTCGTTATCGGTATCAATTTTCTTGACAATATGTTATATCTGGCATTTGACATGTTTAAACCATACCAAACTGATGATGCCCTGAAAGAGATTAGGTTAATTTAAACTGGATGTGCTGTGAGAATACACTTGAGCTGTCCCATTTTGATGCTATTTATGTAACGTTTTGTAATCGACTGATCAGCATATTGTCAGCTTCTTGATAATATATACATATTAATTTATTCCATGGGCTTCTCCTTTCTTAAATGTTATGGCAGACATTTAATGAGATTCAGAAGCTACTCAGCAAAACTAACGGGCAAGTTGTCGGTGACCTCATGACCCCTGCTCCCCTTGTTGTTCATGAGAACTCAAACCTGGAGGATGCTGCGAGGTACTAGTTTCCCTTTTTCTTTTCTTTCCTGGTTTAAGTTTCCTTCGTAACCAAAATCAATTTTAAGTCTTCAGCTGAATTTTTTTTCCTGTAAGTAGTAGGAGACTAAATAAAAGAATTTATTTCTTTGGTTTAGGTTATTGCTTAAAACCAAGTACCGTCGACTTCCAGTTGTAGATGGCGACGGAAAACTGGTAATATGATTTTATTCCGTGTTCTTTTACTTGGATTTGCTTTTACATCTATCAGCGGGAAGTAGTTTCTTACTGGTCTGTGTTTGGTACTATATGAAAGGTTGGCATTATCACACGGGGAAATGTGGTTAGAGCTGCCCTTCAAATAAAACGTGCTAGTGGCACAATATAAATTCAAGACCGTAGAAATTAGTATCATGGCAAATCAATTTCAGCATCATAGCAAATGTGCAATATGGTTCTTCAGCCTCTTCGGTTGACCGCTTATAGTATATGGTGATAATTATTTGATGATTTCTCTTACAAGCATTCCTATTGGGCAATCCAATTCAAAATTTGGATTTTAAGTATCTAGAAGACCCCCAAGACTTGGAACTTTATTCTTATGCCGACTTGTGTCGATAAATTTGGTAGATATGTACCCTTATTTGGCATTTATTAGAATCTAGAAATTCTAGCTAAAATATTGGAGATCTTCCCTTCATCCCCTCGAGCGAAAGTTACTGTAGAACGATCTTCTCTCCCAGGCCTCCATCGGGCGGCCTTATACTAAGTGTGAGTTTAATGAGGCTCTATATCTGTTGTTTTCCTTTCTGATTTCTGAACGTCTAATTTTACTCTTTGCTTCTTCAACTTTGTTATGGATGTGTGTTCATTGTTCAGTCTTTTGTTGGAGATGTTGGATTTTGTTGTACATGTTTGCTTCTCATTATGCCATAACATTTTGTTGTATATGTGATTTCCTGCCCAAGGTAGGCAGCTTGAACCATAAAAATCGATATTATCTCTTTAATTATTGACCTGATTCAAAAAAGAGGGAAAAAAAAGACTAATTAACTGTTGCAACAAATAAAATTAAGATTAAGTACAAACTATATAATTAAAATTAAGATAATGGATGTTGAAAATTTAAAAAGCAAGAAAAGATTTACTTGCTTATAGTCTGGAGTTAGAAACGAAAAAAAGTTGGTTTGATACATGTACAAAAGATACGCGAAAATTTTCGATATATCTTCATATGTAATATCATCGGCTCGAATTAACAATCTCAAAATAAAGTGAAAGTATTGTAACATATTAATGGACTCTCAATAAGATAGGATAAATCATGACAGTTTACTTGGTCATCAATTTCGAGACATTAATCATCAATTTTTTGATAATATGTTTGAATTTTGATATATGTGAGACACTAAGGTGGATTGAGATTGTGATGGATTTTAAGTCATTCTAAATTAAGTGTCTTCAATTGAGATTTTATTGGATATTAATGAAATTCATTAAAATTTAAGTGTTCCAATTGAGATTTTAATGAAATCTTTTAAAATTTAGGTATCCTTAATAATTAGTGAATTTATAAAGATTTTATTAATAGAGGGATTTTAAAAGATTTGGATGGATTTGACGTTTAAAAATAGATATAAGCAATTATTATTTTTTAAATTTTACCATATTTAATGAGATTTTTACGGAATTTGTAAGAATATATTCAAATCTTAAAAAATTATTAAAATTTATAATCCTTTAAAATTCACTAAAATCTTAGTTGAGAACGCCACGTAAACATCTTTATCATTGTAATGCTAAGATCTTTTCTTTATTACCTGGAGAAATAAGAGGAACGATTCACATTTGGAGGATGAAGCTTTTCCCTATTGTCTCACTGGCCAACCTTAATCGCCCTCAATTCTTCAAGCAAAGCACTCAAGTCAGTGTAAGAAGATCCATCTTCTTCAACAGCCTTTCTTGCCTTCTCTTTATATTCTTGTGCTCGGCTTCTCATCTCTGAACCTTCTTCTCCTTCCATAATGTGCCGAATCGCCTTGTCTATGGCTTCCCTTTCGATGCCTTCACTTCCCGTTCTCTTCCATTGCTTACTCCCAACAGAAACTCCAATTCTCAAGACATCTGTCACCAATTTCTCATTGTAAAACTGCTCTGCAAAAACTGGCCATGTCACCATAGGCACCCCCGAACACACTCCTTCAAGCATCGAATTCCATCCACAATGTGTTACAAACACCCCTATTGCTTTGTTTTGAAGAATCAAAAGTTGGGGTGCCCAACCTCTAATGATCAGTCCTTTATCTTTTGTTCTTTTCTCAAATCCTTCCGGCAGCCAGTTTTCTTTTCCGTCTTCTTTTTGGTTCTTGACTTTTCTAACAATCCAAATGAATTTCTGGCCTGAGATTTCGAGACCCCTTGCAATTTCATGTAATTGTTTTGCAGTAAAGGTTGCAATACTTCCAAAACAGATATAAACTACAGAATTTGGTTCCTTGGAATTGAGCCATTCCAAGCATTCATGTTCATCAATGGCGGATTCTTTTCCTCTTTGTGCTTTATATTCTTCTCCTCCCTTACTCCATAGCAAAAGTGGGCCTATATGCCATGCTTTTTTCCTCAAAACTTTCCTGTAATGGTCGGCATAATCAGATTCCAGCTCGTAGAAGCTGTTTACAAGAACTCCGTAGCTTCTGGTCTCTGATTCTTGTATTTTGATAAACCGCTTCGTGAAATCATTTTCTGTTTCTTCTTGATCAAAATGAAACATCTGAAAGGAGAAAAATCAACATCGTTTAAATATATCCTCTTAGTTAGGTTAACCTTTTAAGATCAAGACTCACTTTGCACTATTATCAAAGTCCAAAAGGCTCGAATGGGCAATTCAATCTATCAAAAGCTGAAACTACTTAAAACATAGAAAGATTGAACAATATATAAAGACTTGGGACTTTTAATACCACTTGAAGTCTTGTAAACTTGAGTTCGTGGGGAAGATTGGGCAGAACAAATTGCTCAGAATCCGACGATACATTCTTGAAAGGCTCGTAAATCCTCATGTGTTCTGAAGAGCATAGTGAGAGACAACACGTTCCATGAAAAACCAACCTTGGGATATCAAATTTGGCTGCAGAATCAGCAGCCCATGGAAAGAACGGATCTGCAACAAGACAATCTGGATGAAATTCTTCCGGGAGTTTTTCAACTGGTTCCTGGAGCAATTCCAGGGCTTCTGCGAACGTGGGCATCAAATCATCTGATATTTGATCAAGGCTCTTGATTTCATCAGGCAACTCAGATTTTTCTGGAGGAAATTCCAACACATGCATTCCAATGTTGAATCCTGATTCCCTGGCATTTTCTACCTGTTTATCAAATCCAGGAGTGGCAATTATAGTTGTCTTCACGCCTCTGGAAATGAAAAGCTTGGCCATGTCCAAGGTTGGAATCATATGTCCTTGAGCCAAAAATGGAAAGAAGAAAACGTGCAACTGATTCATTTCTTCAAATTATGTAACAGATCGTGGAAATTTCTTGATTATCTAATAATGAACTGATTTTGAATATTGCAAAACACGTAAAGAAGTCGTGTATATATTATAAGCAGCAGCACGGGGTAGTAGAACAGGCGCCCAGCTATTGGAAGCCCCTCCAATAATTTGGCGCGCCCTCTTTGTATAGAATTTTCCTTTCCCGGAAAATTTTCTTTGTCAAACACAAACAAGTCATTATAAAATTTACAATATAATTTTCTAGACCTGTGATATTATAATAAAATTTATAATATAATTTATAATTTTCTTTGTCAAACACAAACACCGTGACCAAATAAACAATGATATATTTGTGAATAGTAAAAGAGAGCTGGATGAGACCAGATAATTTGTAATTGCTTTGGTATCAATCATGATAGATCACTTTAGTTAAAATAAATTTCCAAGTTCGATAAAAAATATTGATTAATGGCATGGGAGTAGTAGATTTTCAGTTTTGTCTTATCTTTCTTATCAAACAAAAACACGTAATTATAAACAAACTACATTAATTTATTGGATGGCAAAAGAGAGAGAGCAAGTTGTGATAGGATGTCAAATTACTTTACCCTGAAAATAAAATAAGATATCCTGGTTGCATGATATATGTTGAATACTGCTAGATTAAATAATATTTTGTCTATTTCATTTATATAAGTTGGTTTTATTTTTTACATAAATTAAGAAATCTTATTTGATGTTATTCCACCCATTTTTATTTTCAAAAAATGGGGTCCAAAGGGGGCTTATAGTTAGTTTATTGATGCAATGAGCCTTTGTTTGAGCCCCATTTTTTTTTTTTTTGGGGGGGGGGGGGGGGGGGGGGGAATGCATGCTTGAAGTGCCCATAGAGAATAGCTCTTATGGACGACTTTTACCAATCATTGCATTGTTGAAGGTTTTGGTACAGGAATAGACTAAATGACAAATTTTTATACGCAGATACACTTGACAATCATTCGTTGACATTTAAAAAAGTAAAATAGAAAAGTGACAATAAAAATCTGTCAAGTCAGTTTGTTAAAAATTACATGTCATTGTGCCTATTTAAGCAGTTCTTCTATAAAAAGAAAAATTAAGCTTATTTTATTATCTTTAGTCATTTCATCTCATTTGTAGTAAAAAAATGTGCATGCAATTAAACAGGTAGTACCATTAAAGATTGGCCCCGGCCCCGGCCCCGGCCCCGGCCCCAGCCCCAACCCCTAGAACCGGGTCTATGAAATTCAAGCAAGAAGCCAAATGGAATTTGGCTGCTAAATAAATGGACTGTAGCAAACAATAATGTGGAGGAATACTAAGTTTTCCTTTTAAGATGGAACCATACCAACTTCAATTGTTATTTTTTGTCTTTGTAACAAACTTTTTACTGTTTATTTCAAGTCAAGCATCAAATCGTTGTTAAAGACAAAAGTCGATAACTAATCAAAGTTTGAGGTCCGGTTTGTAACAGTAAAAAAAGATTGAGAAGAAATAAGGCCAAAGTTGGAGGTGATGGCTCTAATTTATCCCATTTTTATTATGGTTTGTTAATTATATTGGAGACCCCTTGGTTTCGTTTTTTCACACTCCTTGGTCTTCTAATGTTTGGAAGTTATTTATAATTGTTGGTCCCCAAATTGCATTTGAACAACATATAAACAAAGTATTTGCAGAAATCAAAAATCGCGGAAACTAGAAAACGAGAACACAGAGAATTTTTACCCGCTAATGGATCCGGATTTTTATGTTTGTACGATGTATGAGTGTTTTCTGTCACTTTAGTCCAAATTCACCAACATACACTTAGCACATCAAAATCCACTAAAGATTCCAAAGATAAATAACAGGTTGAGAGAGAGAATCAAGAGATGCACAAAACTTGCAAAAAACGGCGCACACACTTGACTCTATATAGAAAATTTCTCTGAGTGACGATCTTCTCAGCTAAATGATTAATGGATTTCATCTTGCAAATATATAATCTGAGATCGTTCCGTCCAAATTCTCTAGTACCAAGATCGATAATCCAAACAAGATCTCACTCATTGTCACTTCAAAGAATTTGAGCTAGAAACTAATGGTACATTAGTTGCTCATGACGGTTGGTGACTTGTTTGATGAGTCTTATTGTAACAGTCACGAATAAGTCATCTATGTTGTTATGTTTAACAATTATCACCGCTCTCAAATAATACTAAAAATTAGATCGAACAATTGGAGAACTTCAACTTCGGCAAAGCACTCAAGATCCATCTTCTTCAACAGCCATTCTTGCCTTCTCTTTATATTCTTGAGCTTGTCTTCTCAATTCTGCACCTTCTTCTCCTTCCATAACTCAGAGATCAGCAGGGATGTAAGCATTCTTGTCAAAACTTCTATGTAAAATTGCGTGTTCCATTTTTTATTTCCGATTAATCTTTTGTGATTTGTTTGGCTCTATATTAGGGTAAATAGATACCATGTTGAGGATTGAAATTCCATTATAAAATATTATCTCGTTAAGACGAGTAATTTTAGCCCCCATTTTTTGGAAATCAAAATGGATGGAATAGTATTTTTTGAAAAATAAGTAGTTGAGAAAGAAAGAAAAGTTTTCGCTTTACGTGTAATATTATTTTATAGAAGATTGTGTGGTTAAAAATAGGAGAGAGAAAAATGGAATGTAATATAATGAGATTCAAATGAGGTTAATCTGAAAGTGGCTCGATTGGTTACATCAATAAGAATCATTAGTATGAACTTTTAAATTGTGATATGATACGGACATTTGAAATCATATCTTAAAAGTCTTTATTTTGCTTCAATTCCACAGTGGACTGAGCTTGTAAGTTTTAATATCTATAGTAACATAAGATCAAAATTGTCAACAAAGTCATCAAAATTGTTAACAAAGTCCAACAAGCATAAACATGCGCATTCTTGCTTTAAAGAACTTTAAAGAAAAGACCAAATAAATCAAACTTGCTTTTAAGGAAAGATCAAACTTGTTTTAATGAAATCCTTAAGTTTCTAGTTTCTTGACTACTTTTCAAAGAATAATAAAAAGCAAATGGGCCGTTTCTTTGCATGAACTAATGTCAAATTATTGCTTGCTAAAATTCAAATCGTATTTCGGCGTGGTTGATGTTATAAGTACAAGGGGATACTGGCAATTCAAGTCTTAACTTTGTCCTCAGACTGAACTTAGTCCCTGTTTGACTGACTGTCACTAATATAAAAGTTTTAATTTTTTATACTTATTTTTCAATTATATATTCTCCAAAATTTCATTATTCAAAACATCATTTTCCCCCAATTTTTCTTTATGATGGCTATCAATTAGTGGCTTAATACTGTGATTTCTAATATGAATTAAAGTGTTCTTGCCAAAATTAAGAGAGGAAAAAAGTTAAAAGTTTTATTTTTTTGGTAACACTATTGAGATTTAAGATTTATAGCCTGATTGTTTTGGATTCAAATATCAATTCAAAGTTAACATTAAATTTTAACTACATATTTTTTGGGATCTACAATTTTTTAAACATACATTTCAAAAACTTCTATAAAAAATCTAATTTTAATCTCCATCAAA